CAATCACGTAGATTCTTTAACCATGAGTTCTGCCTTCGGCCAACAGATCTGCTTCCTTGAATCTTTCCCTGTATTATGAGTCTCAAAATTTCATATTTTGGTCCCCTCATCACGTGGCCTAGGTATTCCAGTTTTCTGGTTTGTATAGTGGTGATTAGTTCTGTTTCTTTACCAACCCTCTCCAGTACTTCTTTATTTGCAATTCTATCAGTCCATGATATTTTCAATAATTTGCGGTATAACCAGAGTTCGAAGGCCTCGATTCTTTTTAAATTACATTTTTTTAATGTCCAAGTCTCAGCTCCATATAATAATATTGAAAATATATAACAGCGAATGGTACGTAGTCTGATCTCCAAATTTAGATTTTATTTTCTGTTTATTTCTACAGTATGATCATTGGTTTCATTGATCAAAGTTCCCAAATACTGATATTTTTCTACCTGTTTTATCACGTTACCATTTATTGTCAATGGGTGATGTATATTTTGTGGCCTTTTTGTAATCAGCATGTACTTCGTTTTTTTAGCGTTTATAGTAATTCCCATCTCAGCACTATTTATACTCAAGCTTTCGATAAGATGTTGTAGATCCTCTATACTCGTTGCTATGATCACAGTGTCGTCTGCATATCTTAAATTATTAATTAATTTTCCGTTAACGGTGACTCCCGCTTCGATATTATTGAGCGTGTTTTGGAAAATTTCTTCAGAATATAAGTTAAACAAAAGTGGTGATAACACACATCCCTGTCTAACTCCTCTACAGATCCTCATTTCTTCTGAGTGTTGCCCATCAATTTGAACTATGGCACTTTGGTTCCAATATAATGTTTGCACTATATTTATGATTTTACTGTCAATGCGCTTGTTCATAAGTATTGATATTAGTTTTTCATGTCTTACTTTATCGAAAGCTTTTTCGTAGTCAACGAAGCACAAGTGTAGATCAACATTGTTATCTTGGTTGGTAATCTATAAAACTATAATTGTTTTGATCCCTTTCCCTTATCATTGACACACTGGCTTTATGTTAAATTGTTTGTAACGCCTCTGGTTTGACATGGCTACTGTTAGTTGTGAGTTTTTAAAGCATGTGTCGATAGATAAGTGTTAACAATTTGCAACCATAATTTGCGATCTTTTTTTTTTTCAGAAAATCTTATATCATCGTATAAAAAAATTTGTTTAATTTGATATAAAAAAGCATGCATATACGTCATAAGTAGCGTATTTCATTTAAAAAATAAATAAACAAAATAAAATTTTTGTTCAAAAATTAATTACCAATAATTGAATAAAACTATTTGCCGCCCCTTTTTTGACCGGCTTTTGACTTTTTGATTATCAATGCATTCTTCTATTCTTAAATGTATCTAAAAATGTGAGTTTAATTAATAATTATGTTAATATGTATGTGGCGCACCCAGGGGGTGGGTTAACCCCCCTCCCATTTGAATGAATAGTAGTCAATGGCAACGTAGCTGACAAAAGATCCAGAAGATCTCCAGCAAGATGGTCGGACCAAATAAAGGACGTGACTCGCTACTCATTCTCCAGAGCAAAACAAGACGCACAGTAGAGAAATAATTAGACAGAAATAGTCAAACGAATTACATGACGCTACTAAATTTTCACGAAGGAGAAAATATAGAGGAGCACCTGAAAATTTTATAGAACGTTTCTCGATCGTAGCATACCAGTCGTATAATTACAAATCGCACGCAAATGATGACTTCTAGAAACTCGACAATACTTTTATTCATCGAAATGTGCCATTAGTTAACTAAGCCCAACTCATTCGTTACCATTTTCTTTTAATTTCTCTCAACATATTTGTCACATATTTTACACTCTATAAACATGAAGCTTGTATTTTTTTTCTTTTAATTAACCAGTGAAACGAGTGATGCGTGAGCAAGGCCCGATAAAAAGTACTTAATTATAACTACGGGAACTGTCTAATAAGATCGAAAGTTGATCGTCTAAATTGTTAAACGTAGTTATGAGCACATTCGTTACATATTACGAGTATTTTAATATAGTGGTCCTTTCAACATAGCTATTTGCACTTTCCAGTTGTCATTTTTTATTTCTTGTCTCGAGATGCAATCTTCCCACGTCCGAAACCGATTACTAATTATAAGTTATATCTAAATGATTTCAACATTAAACATATATCTATGAGAAAAGGCCACACACTTATTAAAAATTAACCGAATTTATTTGGGAACTGTTAGTTGTTCCCAAGCATAGACACAAAAATTCAATTTCCTGAAGGAAAATTTTTATCCGAGATATATCGTACGGAAATAAGCAAAAATATAGTGTTTATGACTGCCTTAGTGGATCCATTCGCCTAACCAATTGTCTTTTACAAAAAAAAAACCGTTTTAACCTAATAAGGTTATTAGCGCAACGGTAACAATTAATTACACTTTGAAATAATTGATGGATTCGACCGTTACTTGATGGAAATTCATTTTATGTAACAATAAAACACTGAAAACTTTGTTTTCAAACTTCCACAAAATTTATTTTAATTTCTTATCACTACAGCTGTTTCGGCTGATTGCCTTTCTCAAGTGATCTATTTTTGGCTTGGGTTTACAAATTTATAGTCTCTAATGAAATAGGTTGAGGAGGGGAGAACTGTTTGTCTCAAGTTGGTCATTCAGAATTATATCTGTGTTTTTTAATTTGTTGATTTCCATAGATTCTAACAAAGATAGCTTAAGGCCTTTATTTTGAATGTAAAAAATTTTAAATTTGTCATTAAAAGAATGATTATGATCTAGAAGGTGAAGTGCGTATGTCGACTCTGTTTTTCTATTCTTGAAAGCCCTTTTATGTTCTGCTATTCGTTTATCAAAGTTTCTACCAGTTTGACCGATGTAAGTTTTTGGGCAGTCGCCACATTGAAGTTTGTACACACCACTATTTAAGTGTTTTTTATTTTGGCTCTTGTTATTTTTAATATATTTGCCTAGGTTGTTATTTGTTCGGAAAGCTGGTGTTATTCCTTTCTTTTTTATGTGTTTGGCAATTTTTGTTGTTATCTTGCCTGTATATGTAATCGAGCAGAAGGTACTGGGTTTTTTCTCTGGTGGTGAAAATACTAATTTCAGGGCTTTCTTGTGTAGTTTTTGATTTAACATTTTAGTAATTGTTTGTTCGTTGTATCCGTTGTTTACTGCTATTTGCTTAATTATATTTAATTCTGTCTCAAAGTTGTATTTTGACATCGAAATTTCTGTTAATCTATGTAACATACTATGATTACTATGATAGCTGCCAGTTTGTGTTGTGTTGGATGGGATGATGAATTGTGTATAGTCGTGGCAGTAAGGGTAGGTTTATGAAATTGTTCTCGGACGCGACTAGTTCGCGTCCGAGACGCATCGCCACGCCCCTTATTTTTCCCGTTGGCCCCTCCCTGACCTGGAAATCCCTAATCGCTACTTTAGAAAGTATAAAAATAGGCGATTTTCAGGTCAATCAAGTCAGTCCTTCACGGGCTCTCCGAGAGCTCAGTGCTCTCGGGGCTCTGCTTCCTTTTTAGCTTTTCATACTCTGTGGCTGAGTATTTTATTTCAACAATATTTAGTGTTTTATTTCGACTATTTAGTCGTGTAAGAAATATCTTGCCTTTGTCAAGGCAAGCCACCGTAGACTGCATCCTGATGTTTATTTCGACTCATAAGTCATGTAAGAAATAGCTCGTCTTTTTCAAGACGAGCTCATCAGAAGAGAACCTTTTACGAATCCATACCCCGCAAATGGATTCAAGTAGAGGGGCTTTCGTCGACGTTTCCGAAGCCCTCTACAGAGCACACGGTGGTACAGAAAGTGCTTACCTTTCCATTTACCCCGAGGTGACAAAATATGGAGAATTCATGTTTGTTTTGAATTTCGACATGAAAGAACTAACTGCTGAATATGACTTTGAATTTAACTGTTGATCAAATATCACTCATAGGAATGTTATTTCGTTCGTATAGGAAAGATTTTGATTCTCAAGAATGAGGTTTGGTTTATCCTCGATTATGTTTCTTTGAAAACAGTATACATTTTGTTTTATTGAAACAAAATCTAAATCCAGACCTTAGGGACCAATTTACTAGTTTATTTAAATGTTTTTTTAATATTGACGCCATATTATTAACGTTCTTGCCTTTGATGTAAAGAATCAGGTCATCAGCATATAGTCATGCCTGACTATATGCTATGACTATATAGGTTTCGCAATGATTTTTATTATACGTTTATTGCTATATTAAAATAGAGTAGGACTGATAATAATCGATCCTTGTGGGATTCAATTTTGTTGTTCTCTAATATAAGATATAGCACCGTTTGCTCGGACTTAAAATGTTCGTTGAGTTAAAAAATTGCTTATGTAGGCCAAAATATTTCCCTATATCAGAGCTTTTTTGGAATGTTCAATATACGGTGTTTCCATACTGTGTCAAATGCTTTAGTTATGTTAAAGTAAATTGCCATACATTTTTGGTTATTTTTAAAAGCTTTGTGAATAGCGTTTTCCAGTCGATAATGTTGTCGTTTGTAGATCTGCCTGGTCTAAATCTAACTTGTTCGATGATAAGTTGATCATTGTGTTCCAAGGTCCACATTAATCTTTTTTTAACTATTTTTTTCATAAGTTTACATGAGGAACATGTTAATGAGATAGAACGATATGAATCTGGGTGTAATTTATCTTTATTTGCTTTAATAATCGGGATAACGATGGCATTTTTCCAGATTTTTGGGAATTATTTTTGTGACCAAATAATATTAAAAATTTTGAGCAGAAACTCTTTGCTACTTTGGGAAGTTTTTTAGTAAATTGTATTGGTATTTCATCTGGACCTGGTGAAGTGTCTTTCATGCTATTAAGCGCTTTTTGAAAATCCCCATAACTAAGGGGGTATGGATTGGGTTGAAATCGTCGTTGCTAACCAATTTTTGTTATTTAAAATCGTGAATTTCTGTACTTACTTTGTAATTTTTGTTTTGCATTTTTAATATCCTTAACCAATAGACATTTTTAAAGTAAGTTCTTATTTTTTTTTAGTTTTTTTTACTTTTAATTCGTTTTTTGTATTTTTAATTTGTTTGTTTTAATTTTTTTTAATATTTTTTTAATATTTTTATATACCTACATTTACCTTTAGACTTATGTTACAAATGGGTGTGTACAGTGTTTATAAACTTTTATATTTTAAGACATTAGTAATTGAGATAATGAAATGGCGCTGGGCAGGTCACGTAACGCGATATAATGACAGCAGGTGGACACGGAGAATTTTAGAATGGAAACCAAGGATGACAATAAGAAGCATGGGAAGACCTCAAAAAAGATGGGTAGAAGACATCAGAGCAGTGGCAGGCAAACAGTGAATTAGATTGGCGCAAGATAGAGAAAGATGGAAGCAATTGGGAGAGACCTACATTCAGAGTGGATGGAAAATGGTTGATAAAAAGAATAATTGAGAAAGTTCTGGAAATTTTTCATTGATTTAGATTTTTCTAAGTCAACATTTAAATTATGTACCTTATCATATGTTAAGATGCCTGTTACCATATATTAAGATCATATGTTCCGTTGTTCCTATTTCTCCACAATCACATAATAGATTTTGCTTTAATTTGATGTTGAAAAGATTTGATTGAACCAAAATGTAATTATGTAAATCTTCGTATACAAATAGTTTTTACAAAAATGCTTTTTCGACACTGCCTTCTATAAGCCAATTATGAGATGGAATGGAATTTTGAATGTTTTTAAAAAATACTCTCTTTTGACTTTCAGTATCCTAAATTTTCCGATTTTCCTTTATTTGGTTTTTTGAAAATATATTTAAGTGTTAAGGTGTACATTTATAATTATTAATGTAGTTTACCTATCCATACGTGTAGATATCTTTCTCTGAAGTTTGGTCTTACCTAATATTTAACTTCCGTTTCATTTTGCTTAAAATAATAAATACCTCAGTTGCCAGCATATCTTTGGCGGTTGAGGACATTTTGTTAAATTTCAATGGATTATCGACAATGATCGTTCATGGAGGCAGCTAGTTGCAATCTAAAATGTCACCCAAACTGTTGACAACTTATTTTAATCTGGTATAGATGAAATGAAAACAAAATTTGGTGTTTTTTTTTTTAAATTGTAAACGGTTGCCAACACAAAATATGGTTTTGGACGTTTTGGTATCGATTTTGGTGAATGCGCCCCAGTACTTCAGCAACTATATAAAATCTCGTTTCACTGATCTAATATTTGTAATATTTCATTTAAATAAACTAATGTTTTCTTTTCCTAATTATCATTTTTATATTTTATTATAGTATTATTCTCACATAAGATTGTGACGAATGACTACAGCCAAATAGTTTTCAAATAGTGAAAATCTATTGGAAATTAAATTGAATTAAACGATAGAATAATACTTTATAGATATTATATTAAATCTACACCTACTGAAAATCTATAAACCGAATGTAGAGAACCTCCCTTACATTTAAGACGTCTTTTTTAGCTGAAAAGTTTATCCTTAAAAGCAAAGGTATAATCAAACCTACCTATTACGAAAATATTCAACAGATCTGTGTCTAACTTAGTTGACATATAATGGCACATCAAAAATTCTAACTAACTATAGCAGCATTTCCAAACATTTCTTCCTATTTGGAAATCTCTGCTGAGACTAATTTCTTTCAATCTAATTTCAATATTCTCTATTCCCAAACCAAACTTTATTTCCTTACTTTTGATGATAACAACGCCATTCAACTTCAGAAACACCTTGCCAAATTTGATAAGCCATATAGGATTTTCACAGATGGGTTAAAATCCATTTTAAGAGTTGGTTGTGCGGTATATATCCAAAACAATTAAGAACACATTATGTTTAAATTAAAACAACAATGTTCCATTTATTCCGCAGAACTGTTGGCAATATATCAAGCTCTGTGAAAAAATGTCTGAACAACAAATAGTAATCCTGTCGGATTCAAAATCTGCTTTGTCTGCTTTAGATAATTTGGATAAGCATATAAACAAAAACAGTATTATCGTCCAAATTTTAGAAAATCAACCAAAGTTACTTAAAAGAAATAATTCAGTCTTTTTCATTTGGGTAAAGGGACATGCTGGTATCTCGGGTAACACCAAAGTAGATTATTTTGCTAAAAAAGCGGCTTGAAAAGGATTAGCAATTAGTTTACTTAATAGAAGTAATTTAGTCTCGCTCCGTAAACAAGAACTAAAAGAAAACTGGGAAATTGAATGGAGTTTTTTCTGTAACAGAAGTAACAACCTATATACAAAAATTCACTCTGTTTTACTTACTGCGCCTTTTGCTGCAAGAAGTCATCCCAATCGAAGAATATATTCAATGTTTCGTACATGCCTTGTTAATCATGCAACTGTGAAAGCATATCTTCATAGATTTAATTTAAGTGAAACATAACTCTGCGATTGTAATGGTAACACTGACGATATCAACCATTGGATGTTCCGGTGCAGATATAATGATGCTGCTATTAAGTATCTATTGGAAAATCTGATCAAACAACAAATACCTCTTCCTTAGATTCAATCTTCTATTTTATATATCTCTCGTCATAATATTAGGCTTATCCAAATTTTTTGGATATATTTAAAAAGGACTAAAAGAAAAAAGTATCCCTATACTCTGTAATCCCTTGTTGGTACTAAATATTTACCTTAAAGTTAGTTAGGGCCCTGAATGTAATGAATAAAAGTATGGTTACCTGTCAATCTACTGATACTTGTGACACTGATGTTTACAATATATTTGTAATATACCTCTAGGCGAAGTACTATTTTGTTAACAAATGGTATAGGTTCATACATCATTAACAAATTCAAGTAGAAATAATTAAATAAAAAAAATAGTTATTATAAAAATAATTAAAAACATATATACAATGACAAGATTATAGTAAAGCTAGAAAACGATTAACGGTAAAAATATGTACCCAGGGACTAAGTGATTATAAAGAAATGGAAAAAGAGGAAACTCGGAATAAACAACCAATATTTAATGCAAATAGTGAACAAATATTGACTTATCATAAATATGATGAAAAACATATGACCAGGAATGTTAACGCCTTAGTTAATTTGCTACGGTGTAAACGTAATTCGACCTTTTGATCTCATCAATCACTACTTGCAGAGAAGACGAGAAGAAATTATCTCGTTGGTATACCAGTGATTTATATACAACATTTTAGTAAGTATGCAAATGATGTCTAAATGGATGAAACAATGTGTCTCTTTCGTTGAAGGTCACTAGATGGCGGTTATTTTTTCAATAAACTATCGATAACCTATGATATAAAAATAATTTTCACCTTTAATATTTACACCTTATATAATTTCCAAACGTGGCATACACATTTCGACCATTTGATCTTATTAGATACAACATTGAAAATGTGCAAGCTATTTTCTTGTGTCATCCTAATGGAATTAATACTAAGCCACAATTTTACTTTAAAATAAGTTTATTTTGACGCTTCGATTTCCATTTCGGAAATTGATTTCAAAATATAAAACAATAATAAATTAAACCAATCTTGATTTCGTTATTTGGTAAGAAAATTCTTCTAATAATTTAATTTTATCTTACCCATTCATATTGATAATTTAAACATATATTATACATGTATTATACAAATCATATACATAGAAGACTTTAAAATGATATTGCCAATATTCGTCAAAATTCTGACATTCTTCATCCACAAGCTTGTTTTCTACCAATTCCCTGCGTCCTTCGGTTGTACTCATCATAATTGGTCGAACTACTGTAGAAATAACTTATTAAACACAACACCAATATTAACAACACGAAGATTATGCAACGACGCTATATTTATCATGAGAAAATTGCAAGAAATCAGTAGAATACAACAAACTGCCATATTCATGTTTCTTGGACCTTAGGAAGGCATTAGACAGGGTTAAATTAAAGAACGTTATTCACTTTACTCATTGTATGCAAGAGAGATGCCACTAGGAATATAAAATATCTACCAGAACAACAAAATAAAAGTAAAAGTAGAAGTAGAATTAACTGATATAATCTGGCAATGGCATAAGACGCGGGAATCCCTGTAAGCCCTCTACTGTTCAATATGGAGGAAATAATACAAAAACTACGAACGAAAAAAGGATACCAAATGAAAAAAAAAACAACTTAAAATTATCTGCTATGCGGACGACGTAATATGGAACGGGAAATAAGATTTCTCTCGGGACTGTGACTAATCCAGATATCTGACATTTTTTTAGTTACTATAGGCCTATATAAAGAAAACCGATATGTTTTCCGCATAAATTTTGGCATATTTTTTAATTATTAACAATATATTGTAAAAAATGTAATTTTTCGATTTTTTGCTTATCATTTAAAAGCTTAATATTTGAGGTAAAATTACAAAACTATCTCTTTTAAAACATAAAAAGCTGTAAAATGGCAATTTTTAAAAGTTCTAAATTTAATTTGTTGCTTCAAAAACTGTAGTTGCATATACTGCAACTTACGGCCCTTCACGATGTTTACCAAATTCGCGGTTGTGTTCATTCTCTGTGGTACTTCTTCATTGGTGATTTTGTCTATCCATGGTATCTTCAGGATTCTTTTATATAAACATTAGTTAGAAAATAATGAAGATACAGTTATTATACGCATACCAAATGAAAGTTAAGAGTAAAACTATCAATATACACAAAAAAACTTTTTTTTATGATGCAAAAACCCTTTTGTAAAATTACGGTTATTTTTATTTATAAACATTTTAAATTGTTTTAAATTTATCTATATATGTATATAAAGCTGACATTTTTACACGAAATTAAAAAATAATTGTTTTACAATAATTTGGAACAAAGTTAGTTTTTTTTTTTAATTCACAGCTAATTTGTTATAACAATTGAGAACGCAATTTTCGGCATTTGAAAGAAAAATATTCGTGATTTTTGT